CTTATTAGCAATAACTATTGTATGTCTAGGAGAAGCAGAAAAGGTCAAAAGCTATGTACATATGACCATATAAGATGATGCTAAGTGAAATGAACAAAGGGTATTATCTTTCTTGCTGTTGTTTTTAATGTATATATAATGTACTATGTGATTTTTTTTGTTTCTCTTGTATGTTCTTCCCCCATGGTATAACACCTGTTTTCACTGCATTTGATTCCAGTGCCCTGCATCTTGTATATATGTTTTTTTCTAATTTGGGGAGGGAAAGGGAAAGAACAAAATGCTGAAATAAAGATACAGGTTGACCCATTGTAAAAAAAAAAAAAAATATATATATATATATGGCTATAACTAATCTATACAGCATTATAAAGATATGAGAAAATACATAAAAGCATTTTGATTTTAAAAAATTAAGTGACATTTGTGTCCAAAGCAGAAATGATTATCAGTAGAATGCCATGCCTCTTGCCAATGAGCAAAGTTCTATACACAAGTAGAATCCAGGGCCTCCAAATGCCTTCTAAACACACATAAGATGTCAAATGCTACTTCTCTGAAACACACAGAAACCCAAGATGGCATACAAATGTGCTGTGAAGAAACTCATATTTTTTGTTGTTGTTTTTTCAGTTTGTATTTATTGTCTAGAACATTGAAAAAGCACAAGCAACATGAATTCAAATTGCTTAAATGACCATATGTTTTAAATACAGGTTCAGGAGAAAAAAAATTAAAGAGGTAAAAACAACTATTAGGTGAGTGTCAAACACAAAATCTTACATAGGAGTACATAATTTTACTGTTCAAAATACAAACACTGGCCATGGTATCTTACAGCCTATAATTCTAGCACCAAGAGGTTCACAAATCAAGATTACATCTCAAAACAACAAAATAGAAAGGAAAGGGGGAAGGGGAAAAGATACAATGCAATCATGCTGTCAATATAAAAACAGACTAAGGGGTTGGGAATGTGGCTTAGTGATAGTGTTTGCCTAGCATGCATGAAGCCCTGGGTTTGATTCCTCAATACTACATAAACAGAAAAAGCCAGAAGTAGCGCTTGCCTCAAGCGGTAGAATGCTAGCTAGTCTTGAGCAAAAGAAGCTCAGGGACAGTGCCCAGGCCCCGAGTTCAAGCCCTAAGAATTGGCAAAAAAAGAAAAAGAAAAACAGACTAGAAAACAAAGCAAGCATGAGCTCCAGTGAATTAACTCCTAAGAAATGCTGCAGAAAGCCAGGTAACAGTGGCTCACATCTGTAATCTAACTACTCAGGAGGCTGAGATCTGAGGTTCACAGTACAAAGCCAGCCCTGGCAGAAAAATCTGTGAGAATCTTATCTCCAATAAACCACCAGAAAATGGGCACTGTGGCTCAAGAGGTAGAGCTAAAGAGCTCAAGGACAGCACCCAGGGCCAGAGTTCCAGCACCATGACTGACCAAAAAAAAAAGAAAAAGAAATGCTTCAGAATAAAATAGGTACTGTTTTATCTTTTAGCCTATGGAGAAATCCAGAGTGACATTACCTAGTAGTTAATTTAAGGAGAGCACCTAATTTACACCTTAACTCTTAGTTTTCATTAAAATAAGTATACACAAATTTTTTAGAATTTTTTTCTACTGTATATAATAATGGGTTTCATTATGACATTTTCATATATGTATAAAATGTAGTTCAATACTTAATCCCTCATCACTCTCTCTTCTCTTTCTCACTCCTGTTGGTCCACACCCAAACAGTCACATAATAAGCATATTTTAATAGGCTTTTCCCTATTAATAAAGATGAACCTGTTGATCTAAGCTCTGAGATTTATTTTATGTGCGTGTGAGAAATTTAGACTATTCAAGGAGTTATCTGGCACCAATAACCAATAGTTAAGTTCAAGTTATAAAAAGAATGAAATCACCTCTGCAGATGCTCATGGGATGCTAAAATACTGCCCACATCACTTGCTAAAGGACCACAAGAAAGGCTAAACCATGTTCTTGCTTTTGTTGCTGTTTCTATTTATTGCACCTGGGTATCCAAAGTACTTACTGCTTGGGCATAGGCACTGAGGGCTTGCTGGGAGATCTTAGGGCTCTGGCCAGTATTGAAATAAAGAGAAAGGTATGCATTCCCCAGAATATCTGAAAGAGAAACAGTGGTAGATCCATCATCTCAGAGCCCAAGTCCAAGATATGATCTACTTTTGCAACCTTTGTACGTCTATTTCAAAGACCCCTCATTTAAGCCCTACTATAACCCAAGTTCAGAACCTACTGCCTCCACCTTCCTCATGCTGGGAGTAAACTCAGGATAGAATGATTACACACACTATAATCCCATCATATGGGAGACTTGTTCAAAGCCAGTATGATCTTATCTCAGAAATTTAAAAAGAAGAGCCAAGCATCAGTGGCTCACTCTTATAATCCTAGCTACTCAAGAGACTGAGATCTTAGGATTGTAGTTCAAAGCCAGCCCAGGCAAGAGAGTCCATGAGACACTTGTCTCCAACTAACAAACCAAAAAATGCCAGAAGTAGAGCTCTAGCTCAAGTGCAGAACATTAGCCTTGAGCAAAAGAACTCAGCAACAGCACCCAGGCCTGAGTTCAAGCCCCAGGACTGGCACAAAAATTAATAAGAGGGCTGGGAAGGTGGCTCAGTGGTAGAGCGCTTGCCTTTCATGCCTGAGGCCCTGGGTTCGATTCCTCAGCACCACATAAGCAAAAAAGAAAAAGCCAGAAGTGGCGCTATGGCTCAAGTGGTAGAGCGCTAGCCTTGAGCTGAAGAGCTGAGGGACAGAGTCCAGGCCCAGAGTTCAGGCCCCACGACTGGACCCCCAAAAAAAAAATTAATAAGAATGAAAAGAAAGAGAAATAAAGGAAGAAAAGAAAAAAAAAAAAAGGTTCCATATCTGACTCAAACCAGAGATGACATGCTATTTGGTATACCCAAAATCCTACTGGGATAGGGAAATAAATTGTCCTCATGGAATTTGGGGAGATGGACACCCCTTTTCCCTCTAGGATATACTTGGTCTGACTTTACTGAAAGCCCTGCTCACTTATATGAAAACCAAGGTCTCTTCTCTTGGATCAACAGATCCAGGAGCTTCAATAGAGGATCATTAAAATACCTTTCCACTTCTTTTAAACAAAGATGCCCTCAGAATCAGACTCAATAGATGGGCTTCATCCAATTCTCATAGATAGCCATGACTGAGAGCCACTATTCTAGAAAGTTATTGAAGAGCTTTGGGGAGCACTCACACCAGGATCGGCCATCAAGGACATCCATCTGCACAGCTAGCTTGGCCTGCCGAACACTGTCCATGACATGGCGAGAATGTTCATCTAAAGATCCAGGTCGTAGTTGGCGAAGAACCATTGACAGGTTCTGCAAGGAGACTTTATTCTTGCACTGTAAATAGAAAAAATACATACTCAACCTTCCTAATTCTACCTTTCTCTTCCAAATCAATTCTATCTCCATTTTTCTCTCATTTTTCATTACAATTCTTGTGGCCATCTGCATCTTCAATGCTTGCATCTACTCCAAACCTGTCCCATCTTCTTTTTCCTTTATGGGTCCCTTATATCTTATTTTCTCATCCACCCTGTCTCCCTTCTGATTTTCTTCTCCAATTTCAGATTCTGTTCTGATCTTTCATTCTTGTCCTAAGAAAGTTCAAAGAACCAAAGGAATCCTTCCCACTGGGATGGTCCATGGGGATAGTGCATGGCTCACATGAGTGAGGGCTCCAGAGAAGCAAGTGTGGGCTGCAGCGACATCCCCTTTCTTCCAGTACACCTCACCCAGCTGGTTCCAAGCTTCCACCAGTGCAGGTTCCAGCTTCACAGCCTTTGACAGAAGCTCCTCAGCCTTAGGGCTATAATCATGAATCACATTCAGTGCCTTCCCGGTTAGCATTAAAGCCTGTGCTTTGCCCCGGACAGAACCTAGGAGAAAGGGAAGAAGCAACAAAATTTATTTTTTTTTATTTTTTATTTTTTTGTCGGTCATGGGCCTTGAACTCTGGGCCTTAGCGCTGTCCCTCAACTCTTCAGCTCAAGGCTAGCGCCTTACCAAAGCAACAAAATTTAAAAACCCAGAAATGTAAAAGAGCAGGGCTGCATGCCAGTTAAAAGGATGGACATAAGAAAAATCTCAGCAACAAACCACTTACTAAAAGCCTACTATGTTGAGAATAGGTTAGGTAATTGGGTAAAAAAAAAAAAAAAATACTATTGTTCCTTAAGAAGGCTAACAACATGGTAAAGGCAGAACATAAAAAAAGGAAAATTAAAATAAAAATGAAAACAAGTATATGGCATACACGTAGGGAATTAAATTTTAGAAGTTAAGAAAAGACAAGGCCCTCCAAAAGCCAGTACTGTTGGCTCATACCAGTAATCCTAGCTACTCAGAAGGATGAGATCTGAGGATGGAAGTTCAAAGCCAGTTCAAGCAGAAAAGCCCATGAAATTCTTATCTCTAATTAACCACCAAAAAGCAGGAAGTGAAGGTGTTAGCTAACTGAGTCCCTTCCCATAGCTTAGTCAACTCCTTCTCTTCTCTACAGCTTAGCATGCTCCCTTCCTAGGCAACACTAGGCCCATGCAGTAAAGGCAGTAAATAATCAATTTCCAACCCCCTTTACCTTGGGATGGCACTTCTCTGGGGAAGCTACCGCCATATAAGGCAACAAGATCCCCTTAGAGTGACCTTCAGGACTGGACAGCTGCAGGACCCTTATCTACTACTTGGATGGCAGCCATAAATCCTAATCCACCATGATGAAGCCTCTGGCCCACATGTCCACACCAGGGTCTCTGCCTCTTACCCCTTCTGGACCATCCTAAACCCCCTAGGTTATATAGGCCACCCCAGACAATAGCCAGTGCTTCTCACTTCTCCCTTTTGAGGAGTCTTGTCGGCCCACTTTCCGGGCAATAAACCTTTCTTTGTTCTCTGTACCTGGATGTCTGTGTGGTTCTCTGGCAAAGTCTAATTAATCTTAATTTTGCTAACAGAAGGTATGCCTCAAGTGGTAGAGCACCAGCCTTGAACAAAAGAAGGAGAAAAGAAGAGGAAGAAGAAGAGGAGGAGG